GCTTTTAAAGAGTACACCCTGGAGCCAAGGTGCAACAGCCATTTATTTGCATGACATGCCAAGCCAGCACACACTGAAAAACCTGTGATAAAAGTGTCCAGATGGTGCTGACCTCTGTGCTGATAAAGCTTAACATTTGCTTTAATGGTTCCTATATTTCTTTTAAAGGCATTCCCAATGCTGAGCCTGCAACCAAAGCCTTCTACTTGTGCAGCTTTCTGTGTATACAAGTGCAGCCTTAGGAATGCTAACAGCATGCTCTGAAGTACACAGAGACCCTTCCTAATTCAGAATTCTCCCACCTAGCTTCTACTTGCTTGCTGTCCTTAAAACAACTTGAAGAGCAGCCTTTGCCTAAGGATGTAAGAGATATATAAAAGGAATCTTTTTCTCTAGGCAGTCCACTCACCCCCAACCACTTTTTCAGGCATGAGTAAGAATAACTATAAAATAGCCTGAACATAAACTACAATCATAGTTTTGACTGTGGTGCAAGTCCTAAAATTACAGCATCCAGGTCAAGCAAACCAAGCAATACGAAACAGGATTATAAGTGTAGTATTTCAATGCTTGAAAAAAATTATTTCAGTGGAAAATGGGTCCAAAGCCTTTAGCAGAATCTCTGCCTTCATCATGAAAGAAATAAATAGAATCATGGAATCATACAATGACTTGGATTGAAAAGCACCTTAAAGATGATCTTGTTCCAACCCTGGAACAACCTGGCCATGGCCAGGAATGTGACCCACTAGACTGGTTGGGTTGCTCAGGGGTCCATCCATTCTCGCTTGGCACACTTCCAGGGATGGATCATTCACAGTGTCTCTGGGCTACTTGGTTTAGTGTCTCACTTTCCTTTGAGTGAAGAATTCCTTTCTAATATCTAATCTAAATCTTTCCTCTTATAGTTAAAAATCGTTTCCCCTTTTCCTATCCCCATCTGCCTGTGTAAGAATTCAATCTTCCACTCTTTTATAAGCCCTCTTAAAGTACTGTAGGATGACAATAAGATCTTTCTAGAGCCTTCTCTTCTCCATACTGAACAACCCCAACTCTCTCATCCTGTCTTTATAGGACAGGTGCTTCATATCCCTAACCATCTTTGTTCCCCTACTTTGGACTCACCCCAGTAGGTCCACATATGGTTAAGACTCCAGACCTGAATTCAGCACTCCAGGTGGGATCTCACAAGGGAAGAGCAGAACAGCAGAATCACTTCCTTTGACCTGCTGGCCACTCCTCTCTTGATGCAGCCCAGGATACAGTTGGCCTTCTGGGCTCTGAGTGCATATTTTTGGCTCATGTCCTGCTTTTCATACACCAGAACCCTCAAGTTCTTCTCTGCAAGGCTACTGTCAATGACATCTTCTCCCATTCTGTGCTCTTGTTTAGGATTGGCCTGGCCCATGTGCAGCACCTTGTACTTGGATTTGTTGAACTTTGTGAGATTCTCATAGGTCAATTTCTCAAGATTTCCCAGGTTTCTCTGGACAAGATCTCTTCCTTCTGTTGTGTCAACCATACCACTCAGCCTCGGGTTATCTGCAAACTTGCTGAGGATGCACTTGATCTCAATGCCTATGTCATTGATAAAGATATCAACTAACAACTTTCCCAAGACACCAGTCATTGTCAGAGCACTGCTAAAGAGCATGGTTAAATGAGCACTGGTCCCAAGATCCTTAAAAAAAGTTTCGATTGGGAATAATTCTTCTTGCTACTCATTTAACATTGTCAAACTGCTACAAATATCTTGTCCTGAATGTAAAAGAGAAAACTTAATGTCAATGCCCATGTTTAAATTTTCATTACCCTCAAAGAAAAGTGACTTCAAAGACTTGAAATGACCCATTAAGATCCACTCGAGAGTATGACACTGTTTTTTTTTTAAATACACAGAAGTACTCATGCACATGCATAGGTAGCCCTGAAAATGGTGACAATACTGCTGTATTTTATAAAATGTTCTCATTCACATGGGAAGGAATGAAAGAAAGAAAATAATGAGACTGGTTTTAGTTTCTCTAAGATTGATCTGATTGAAATATATTTGAGTAAAAGTAAATTTCTTGAAATAACTCTTCCGTCATAAATCTTACAACATCAGAAACCTTGCTCTCAAGTCCTGATGAAAAGTGATCATAACTCAATGTCCATAAATGCATCAAAATGGGTGAATATATTTCTGAAATTAAATCACAAAATGTACACAGAAGAGTACTAGATTTTCTTCATATAAATACTTACTTAAAAATAGCCAGATTACTTTCATTTCTGTGGTGATTATCACTGACATCGTCTTTTATTTACAGCTGTATAACTGAAAAAAAATTTCCTTAATTAGATAAGATTTCTAATTTCCTTTCACCTGTTCATCATTTGGAACACTTCACCTGCAATCATGGTTTCTCATTGTTCTTTTAATCTCCTTTTTTTTTTCTGGTAGGCAAACAGCTGGTTCTCAATTCATGTTGCCAATTGTTAGATCAGGTAATGAGGTTGTTTTTTTTTATTCTTCAGCCTTACCCTCAACAATAATTATTTGTTGTAATTAGATTCTTCTGTGCCTGGTACAATTGTATTTCTCTATGTGATTTACACATGAAGGGATTCAAACCCTACAAACACTGAATGATTACATCTCAAAAAGACCCAAGATACCCAACTATATTTTCTGATAGTTATTTCAGCAGGATATTTTCTCCTTGTGTTTTTCAGCAAGTAACTGTAAACAGAACAAATGTTGTCGCTTACTCTAATTCTCTCTTCTGCCTGGTACTTTTCTATTTCTTCTGTATTTTCAAACTTGTGCTAATGTGAAAGGAAAATTTTCTCATTTAAACTTGGTGTCTTAGCCCACTCAAAATATTTTGGGTTTTTTTTTTTAGCATATTTTAAACTGTGGAAAACTAAAATTAAACCAAATCCTGGTCTTGCTTTCTGTACTAAAACTCTCAGAAGCAGATTACAGGAAAGACAAAAGCAATTGAACATTAGAAAATTATTGACAAAAATTACAATGTAGAAACACTCTAAACAGGATCCTTGACCATAACCAAGGATTTGACTAATCTTATGAAATAGCTAAAAATTATTTTTAAAAAAGCAAATCAAAAGATCAATGCACATTAAATGCTTTAAAAGTGAAGAGATTTTTATATGTAGTTATTACTCTAATTACACTCAGAAAAACTTCATAATCCTGCTTTGAGCATAGTCACATCCTCTTGTGCAAGGCTGATGTTTACAAATTACCATTCAAGTTGCTCAATATACCTCAAAAATAAAAAGAAATTATAAAAAAATCTTGTACTTTTTTTAGAAGGAGCTGTTGGAAAGTGAATGAGCTAAACTCAGACCCCTCAACTACTTCTGTGTGTTGTGTTTTGGGTGGGTTGTTTTGGTTTTTTTTTTTTTATTTTGTTTTTTTTTTTTTGTTGTTGTTGTTTTGGGGTTTTAAAAATTATAATTCAATATTATTAATTGTAATCAAATTATCCAAAGTTAGCTAGAAAAAATGGGTTGAATATTTGTGGTGCAGTACAGCACTAGCAGTAGCAAGTTTCTGAATTGTAACAGCAAAAAAACACTTTGATATAATGATTCATTCTGTGAGATACTAAATACTTTCCAAAACTTAACTGTATCCTCAAGTCCCATTAAGGTCAATGTTCTGAGATCATATATATGAAAAAGGAATTCCTTATTTGATTGGCACAAAGTTTATAGATTATATTAGTGCTAGTTGTCAATTACTGTATTTCTGGAAGAAGTCAAGCTGCACCTTCTCTGGAAATAAGAGAAAAACAAAGTCTTTGATAACAAGTGGCTTTGATATCTGTGGGATTTCAAGCCACCCTGAACACTGGAAACACCTGAACCCCAAGACAGTCATTGGCTCCCTCTTGGCTTTGAAAGAAAAATGTCTGGCTGGTGAAGTCATTCTGCTTTTAAGTGCCATAGGAATGAACCTGTACTGAGTTATAGCATCCTTAGTTGAGACTCACTCCTATTCTTATGCTACTGGTTTTGTCATCTTGTGACTGAATGCAAACCTGTCCTCGCAAGCCAAGGTGGACTATAGGTTACTCTCTAGTGTGACACCCACCAGGAAGGGCAAATGACAGAACAGCCACTCACAGAGCTTTCTGGAGTTACTGTGACTCACGCAGTGTGGCACGGTGTTAAGTGTTGCAAGTCAATTCATAAACCACAGTTGTTCCCATGTAACTTTTCCTTCCTCAGCTCTGCAGATGTTTCCTTTAGCCTCTCTGCCAGTCCAGCAGCAGATAGATTAAAAAAAGAGTCAAATTGTTAGCATTTATGTGTGTCTACATAAACCCAAGTGCACACATTTGCACGTTTTGATGCAACGGGAAACCGTATGCAATGCAGAGGTACTGCTGAAGCCTCTCTTTTTTTTCAGCCCATTCTATTCTGACCCTTTTCTGGCACTATTATCACTCTTTCCCAGCTGGGCTTGAGTGGCCTTGTTAGGGCAGCTATTAAGCTCCACAGCCAGAGGTTTCAATTTAGGAGGGAGTAAAGCTTCTCTTTTTATTACCCCAGGAGAACCGAAAATCCTGCCAGTGCAGTACTCCAATTTATCGCCAGGAGCAGATGAGGTGGATTGAGAATTAGACCCACTTAACAACTGGTTTACACAGCACTCTCTGTCATTGCTACATGAAGCCACAGGAGGTTTATGGCTTATTCAGAAGGGCAAATGTTTCTGTATCACTGCAAGATATTGAGTACAAATCAAAGCACATGGCTGTTCTGCAGTGAGGACTGGACCCTTTTTTCATCCTTTGTTATGTATTTAAACCATAAAATAATTTGTTTACTGTAACCTCTACTGTAGTTATGTGGGAAACATTTGGCTTAAGACATCAGTTTTGTCTTCAGATAGAGATTCATTGGATTTTTACAGGACATGAAAAGCAGAGAATTGAAACACAAGATTTCTAAAATAGCATGAAATACTCTTTTCTTTATAGCTCATACAGACTGTGAGTGCAATTGACAGAGATCAGCCTCCTCGAGGACACAAATTTTTCTTTGAGTTGGTGCCAGAATTTGCTGTTCACCCAAACTTCTCTGTTGTAGACAACAAAGGTAAGTGCTGACCCCAATGTCCCCCTCCTCTATGTCACATAAAACTTAATTCAGAAACATTTATCGATTCTGTGTTTCCATTCTAGATAACACAGCAGGAATTATGACCAGAAGAAATGGATACAGCCGTAGTAAGACGAGTACCTATCTTCTGCCGATCATTATATTTGACAACGACTACCCGATCCAGAGCAGCACGGGCACGCTGACCATCCGCGTGTGTGCCTGTGACAGCCGGGGCAACATGCAGTCCTGCAGCGCTGAGGCCTTGCTGCTCCCTGCCGGCCTCAGCACGGGGGCACTGGTGGCCATTCTCCTCTGCATCATTATCCTGCTAAGTAGGTACCTGTGATGAGATGTTTACTTGACCAGAAAAAGATCTAGTCACTTTGAGAGTCCTGATATTCTTAAGATCCTTAGTCACATGACCCTGCAGAAAATATACCATTACACTTTAGAAGTTTGTGTGAGAAGAGTAAGACTGTGATATTCGAATTAAGTGCAATTGAAAATATAGTGTCAGTTTTAGTTACTATGCTTGTTTGAGTAATGTTCATACCATAATCAGATCTTCATTTAGATCCAGAACTTTAAAATCATATTTCTGAAGCGGAGTGCTAAGTTTTGCAACAATTAAATGTTATGAATTATATTAGCTATTTAATGATGAAAGGTTTGGGTTTTTTCTGTTCAGAAAATACTTAGCTCAAAAGCATAGGATAGAAATATTCAATTTCTAGCAAGTGATAGTGAGAACTGATGATTAAATAAGTATGAGAACAGAAGTCAGATGAGTGTTTGGAAGGTAGAAGCATTAGAAAGATGTAGTTACATATGAAGGAAGTAGAAAAAATGTTAGCTCATTATCTGGTGTTAAGAACATAAAAATTTCAACTTGCATGTTTTGCAAGAAAAGTGTCATCACCTCTACTTTCCAGTGAAACTCTGCAGAAAACCTCTTTCCTTTTCCACCTGTCGTAGCAAATATAGCTTGCCAAGGGGTCAGTGGGAAGCTACAGGTGTTAGTTTATATAATTATAAGGGGATTTTTTTTTCTTTCAGTTTTTACCCTGGATTCAAGATAACTCTGTGATTCTCCTAATATTTGCTGTAGATATTAGAAGAAGGGTAATATCTATAAACTGTATCTGTACTGGGCTTAAGGGAGGGAGAATACTTGAGCTCTAGCAAACTGATAAACTGTTTAGATTCCAAAATTGCTGCTGGCGTGGTTTCAGCATCAGCCCCCTTGGATTTCCCAGGATGTTACCCAGGCATAGTCAGGAAATCTGCTGATAGTCTGCTGAGAGGCAGAACTTGAAAGGCACCATTCTCAGGAGAATATGGTTCAAACTCTGCCAGACCTAGCTCTTCACCTTGCATGGTTCTTATTGTCATGTCAACAAGCTCTGTATCTTTAAAGCCATCCTGCATTCCCCAAGAAGAGCAGGAGAAAAAGGAGCATGAAACACATGCCCTTACTCACTCAGAATGAAAACATTGCTCTGATTGGCTGCAATGCTTTAGTACAGATTGAAAAAATCTGTACTAAACTTTGAACTTATTGAAGTTAAATGTGCCTTAGGCCCAAAGCAATAGAATATGAAACACAGAAGAGGTTCAGGGACGATTGCTGTGCAGAACAAGTGACCACTTCGTGTCTCAGCCCCAGGGTTAGAGGCCCTGCTCTGTTTAGCGCTGCTGGCATATGTGAAGTCAAAGAAACATGTGGCTGTGGAGTATATAAACAGAATTTTTAGTCTACAGCTAGGGTGATACTCAGCATCATATTTAATTTTTCAACAAGGTAGTGTGTTGTATTAGTAAACTGGTGTCAACATGCCCAACATGAGACATACTAAGTACCAGGCTGTGAAAGACACTCCGTAATAACCTCTCAGTGATCTACCTTTTTCTCCTCCATGGAGTTCTTTAACTTGTTAAAGTGTTCCTCATCTAACATTATGAAAAGAAAGGCCTGTGTACAGGCACAAGGAAGAAAACCCAAACAATACAGAATGGAATACATTTTTATTAATTTTATATTCACAACATAATATCATGGCATGTGAAAGATCTCTATTCCCCTTTCCCTATCTGCAGCATGTCAAATCGTAGCTTTTATTCACCAATACTCAGGTGATTCAGAGTAAAAACTTAGCTCCTAGGACTCAACTAAACCATTCAGCACTGTTGTAATTTATGGTTCAGCAATCATTGTTATGTCTCATTGACAGATGGTCTTTCTGTCCTCTCTTATTTATTTATTTCAGCTACTGGAGAGAGAGTCCGATTTTTACATGCACTTAAGCATTGAATTGCTTCTGAAATCAATAGTATTGAGACACCAGAATGTACTCACAAAATCCTAACTTCATTTTTTTATCTCCCCTTATAGAGCTTCTTTTTTATATCAATCCTTACCTCTTTCAATAGAAAGAGTTATTCAACTAGCACTTCATAAACCAAGGGGATCACGTTTTTCAAAAGAAGCATTTAGTAACAAAGACTGGATTTCAATTCTCACAGTCATTGAAGCAAAAGTAGTTTTGTCAATTATATTGATAGCTTAAGGTCTTCAGGTTCTTATTTTCAGAGGGACCTGTAGATCCCGTATTCAGAAGTGAATTAGACACTTGGGAATACCTAAATCGCTAGCTTTCAAGAGTGTGAATAACTTTTGCCAAGGAGATTCAACTACATTCGATGAAAGGACCCTTAATGACTACCAGAAAGGTGGTACTTACAAAACTAAAATCAAACTCAAAACTTTGTAGGATAATATTGTATCATATTGTTTACTTTTCAACTTCTGCTTAGTTGCAAATTTATGTAAAGTATAAAACATTTTGATAATTTCTCCCATAGTTTAAAAAATAATAAGTTTTTGATTGCTATCAAATAATTAGTACTTTCCCTTATTAACTTGGAGATAGATTTTATCATGACATTCCAATTAAAAATCCCATTCCAGCCTTAAAACCTTTCCAAGGCAAAAGATGAGGTAAAATTTTGCCTCATGTATTTATTTTCTAACAATCCATGTATTCATTCACTTTTTCTTTCCTTTAAGTATTAGTTGTCTTGTTTACGGCTCTCAGGAGACAGAGGAAGAAAGAGCCCTTGATCATCTCAAAAGATGATGTTCGGGACAATATTGTGACCTACAATGATGAAGGAGGTGGGGAAGAAGACACCCAGGCTTTTGACATTGGCACGCTGAGAAATCCAGAAGCACGGGAGGAAAGTAAAATGAGAAGAGATGTTATCCCAGAAACAATATTTCAGATAAGGCGGACTGCACCTCTTTGGGAAAACATCGATGTTCAAGATTTTATTCATAGAAGGTTAAAGGAAAATGATTCAGACCCAGCTGCCCCTCCTTATGATTCATTAGCAACATATGCCTACGAAGGAAATGATTCCATAGCAAATTCACTCAGCTCCCTGGAATCACTTACCACAGAAGGCAACCAAGACTATGATTACCTCAGTGACTGGGGACCTCGGTTTAAAAAACTAGCAGATATGTATGGTGGAGAGGACAGTGATAGAGACTGAGAAAGTAATTTGTGACCCTGGTCAGTGTTAGTGGAATTCATGTCTATGTTCCTAGATAAATAAAGTGGCCTACTCTCTTACTTGGGAATAAAAAATTTACAAAAAATAGGTGTTGTCTTAGTAAGGGTTTGCTTAATCAATAAGTCAACGTGAATGAATATGAACGATTGAGATTTTGAAAAAACATTATAACCCACCCTCTCTGCCTAGAAACCTCTGATGAAAGGGTTTTTTAGGGAATGAAAAGATAATAAAAGGCTTTTTGTGCCTTTGATAATTACATGGAAAATCCATATTTTTTAAATTGCTTTGCTTTACCTTTCCTACTATGTTGGATAGTGTGCATCTGCATTGTAACTTATTCTCAAAAATATACTTTAAAAAGATTAATATTACTGCCATATTTATTGAGTTAAAAATGTCTGTGTGTTGATTCATCCTGATATTTTTATATATGTATATTTATATTTTTGTATTTTTATTAAATAAATTAGAATTTATAAAAAGACTACTTATTCATGTACTTTGTCAATCGTAAAGAACTGTCCAATCTTTCTGAAGAAAGGAAACTTTTTATTGTGCAATACTTAATTTTTGAATGCATCATCTTATATCAGGTTAGTGGTTGCAATGTACTGTGCAAGAATGATATGGAGAGAGGGCTCTGTAATGAGAATGCAGTGTAGAAAATAGAAAAAACTATTTTGAAAAGGTGATTATAAATAAACACACTCTGACTTGCAATGTGTATTGCTACATGGCATAATAATACAGTTTCATTGTGAAGCTCACTGACACATACCTCCTTACATGTACAGATGACCACTCAGAGGAACAGATAGATGCCTGGGGATCTAAAGAAACTATTAAAGTTTATTTTGACAGATGGGAAAACAATTTTTAATATACCTTCAAAGAAATTGAATAATTAAGCTAGCATCAATAATGAAAGGAAAGTTATTATATACTAATCTTATTTTGGAACTTTGAGTCAATTAGAAAAATCAGGTATATAACTGACAGTATCTTTTGAATAAAAGGGAGCCAAGATATAAAAACAAAGTCTATCTAGTATTTTATTAAAGTTGTTAATGTTCTAGTCCTTCAAAAAAGTGTGTATATTTGCATATTTCCTACAGCCTTAATGACAGTCATCAAGTATATATTTTTGTTTAAAATATATTTTCTGGATATGCGTTTTGAAATGCGCTTATTTTTTCACAACAGAATAAAAGGAATATAAGTGGATCAGGGGATCTAACAAAGTTGAAGGGTTTATCCACATTTGTTTAAAAAAAGAAAAATATAAAACCTCAAATTTATGCAAAAGAAGAAACAGTTTTGACAATATAGGAAGTACCTTATCCATACCATTTAAATTTTTTTGACTTTAAGGAAAACCCACACCTACAGATGTTTAAAAAAAAAAAAAAACACCTACAAAATAATAATGTTTCAAGGTTTTCTCTATATTAATTAGGCATTTTTTCAGGTCTTTTTATAACTAAACTTAAGATACACATTGACAGTGTTATGTGGACTATTGAAGCACTTATCTCTTACCATAAAAATATTAAAGAGGCTTCAGACTCAGGGACCCTTCAGCCAGACCTAGGAACACACTCATAATTATCTTTCTACTATGTTGACTTTCAGATTATTTATCAAAAATATTTCTTTATTATTCTTTATTTAGTCCTTCTACCATAGTCTTCTGCCAGCCCTAAGGATGTATATCAAATTTCTTTGCACTGAACTCCTTTTTTTGGGGGGAAGGAATATCTGTGTGATTGTGGCTCCAAACAAGCACCTGAACAGCTTGCTCTGGCACGCACATCAAGTCTGTGACGCTATGTTGAAAGCAAAAAAACTTTAGTGTTGCAGAAGTGTCAAAATAACCTGCAAATATGTGTCAGCTATTTACATGGATGTGATGCAGTTACAGGGCATTATTGTGTAACTTGACGACATAAGAATGCATGTTTCTGTTTTGTGTCTTTTGGAGGTGAAACCAAAAGAGTTATGGAGTCTATGTTCTCAGCCTGTTGCTAGGAAAGTGAAAGTACAGAGGAATCCATTAGTCTTTGAATTCAATTTCCATAACTTTACAGCATTGCCTCAAGATGGGATAGAGGAAAAAGTAAAGGGAGAATAAAAACCCCTGTCCCTGAAGAGAAATGACTGGGGGAGAGGGGAGGAGTGAAACCCAAAAAAACCCCCAAAATAGAAAGAAAATATACAAGAACTTTTCTGACTTATAGAAGTTGTGCACCAAACTTCACCTTACACAGTAGAGGACATCTTTCAGCAATCTTGTAAATTGTCATCAGAAGCCTGAATATCACGCAATGAAGTGAAATGACAGGGAAGAGAAAAATGAAAATCTAACCTCAAACAAGAACAGATACAGGCAAGGTGTATACCCCTGGAGTTGACTAAGTTTTTAAATTGTCAAGACCTGGAGCAGGACACATCAAAGGATACCAGTGTGACTTCAAAGAGGCTACTAGCAAAGGCAGGATAACAGGAACTGGGTGTGAGAAATCCTTCTTCCTTGAAGACACAAAAATACCTTAAAAATTATATATTCCACATAGAAACAAGTTCATTTCTGTATTTTAGAAAGTTGTGTTTTTTTTTTCTTTTTTGGTGTTTTTTTTTTTTTTTGTTTGTTTGTTTGTTTGTTTGTTTTGTGGTTTTTTAAATGTGTTTTGGTTTTTTGGGTTTTTTTTTTGTTTGGTTTGGTTTTTGGTTTTTTAGTTTTTTTTTTTTTTTTTTTTTTTTTTTCTTCAGTAACAGAAAGCAGAAAGTATAGTATAGGTCACCTCACAGAATGCTCTCATAGAGACATGTGCTCAGTATCACCATGTCATGGTACCACTGTGGTAATTTGGAAGAGCAGAAAGTCCAGAAAATCAACCAAAAAAGGTATCTTCCTCCCCTTCTCTCACCCTGGGTTTTCTCATCCCCTGAGTCATACCCACTAAAGAGAGAGAGACAGCCTTTGCTTTCAGAATGAGACTTGCCCATGCTTTCCTGTTAGTTGCCTGGTGAGTCCAAGAGCCCTGTGATTCTTTAAGAAATATGTGTTTGAAAAATTACCTACATGGATTTACAGATCACAGAAATTCATGTAGTTGACATAGTAAAACAAGTAATTTCACAAAACTATTGGGAATTTTAGGTATTCTTACAACACATGAAAGTAGTTAATAAAGTTGATTCTCAAAGACACAGAGGAGGAAAAGAAGGTTATGAGAGGCCTCTTAGAATTTGATGGCTATTGCTGGTTTTACAGGTCCATATTTGGAAAACCTTGAGGAGCACTGCAGTCCCTGGGTGGGCAAGGATAGGTTGGATTCAAATCTACACAGGGACCCTCAGCCAATGTCATTCAGCCTTAAATGCAGATGCATCACTGGCCAAAGAGCTGGATGGTGCTAAGACCTCAACCAATCACATGTGTAAGCTACAAAAATTGGTGCTCCTATAAAAGGAGCTGAGGGAATAAACTCCAGGCTGCTTGTCACAAGGACCATTGAGTGTGTGTCGTCTCTGTCTCCAACCACTGACTCCACATTACACCTGGGTGCAGCATGGGTCCTACCCTGGTGTGGTAGAAGGAGCTAACCGATACAGAAAATGCCTTGGAGTTGTGCCATAAAAAATGGTACTCATTAAGTTGTTAACTTCCTTAGCATTTCAAGATGAGTGATATTGATGTGTACAATTTAGAGAAAGTACAACAAACAAAGACCAGCACAGACCAGGATTCAGCTGTATAGGCAAATAATCTAAGTCCAATAATGGGCACAAGTGCTGATTAACAGTGGGATATGCCATACTGGTTAAACATCAAATAGCAGCGAAAGAGAGACAAGAGGTCAGAATTCCTTCCAGTGATGCTTCTGCAGATTTTCCTTCCTCTGTTAGAGAGCTGAGACACTGAAGCGCTGGGTGTTTCATATTTATGCACATCCTCGTCTTCTGTGAAGTCATCTGTGCTTGTTGACCAAAGTTCCAGATCCATGGGACTGACTAATATGTCAGACATCTCTCACTGGGAAGTTCAAAGCCTTGGGACCTTGGAAGAGCTCAAAAGAAAAGAGAAAAGTAATTTTTATGGTGCCAATCTCACCAAGGATCTCTTTTCTGCCACTCAGAACCACTCTGTTGTGGTTCACTGCAAAGGAGATGAAGCAGTTGGGAAAACTTGAAACTTAAAAGACTAACTCAATCTCTAGCAGAAAACTTACTTGTGATTGCTAAGGACCAAGATAAATTTAGTAACTCCCAAGGAAATACTGTTAGATTTAGTGATCATTCTGAACAAACTTAAATCGATTTTGAATGGGCTCTCTCCAGGGTTAAGAACAAACAACCTTAGAAAAAGGAGTAAAAAAGAATACAGCAAAATGTCAAGTGAATGTTCCAAGGGAAAAAAAACCCCAAACAAACATAAAGTCATTCCAGCTTGATGGAGGTCTTGTTTTGTAATAGCTATGTATTTTCTGTTTCTTTTCACTTAAACTGTTTCTTTTTGCTATTGTCATAATCTTACAACCTTACTCTGATAAGTAGTCTTAGTACAAAATAATGCTGGAGACAATCTCCCACAGAGGGTTACATTTTGCAGTGAAATGCCAAAACAAGCTCCTCATTATGCCAGGTTAAGTAGCCTAAATGCAACCACCATCATACATAAAATGCCTAAAATTTTTAGTCCTTTCATTAAATGACTAGTTTTAGAACAGAATAGTCATACACAGAACAAAGAGAAGCATATGAAACTTCCATCAGCATATTTCTCATGCATTTATGACAACAGACATTAATGCCTTTTGTTCTACCAAAGGCATTTCAACTACTAGTGGTATAATTTACAGTGAAAGTCATATTTTAAAGTTACATTTACACTTCATTTCTCACTTGTGCTAAGTAGACAGTGCACATAAGTGTCTGGATTATTGCATATTGGAGTATTGTTATATTTTATGTTTTGTAATTGATTTTGTAGACAAATGAGAAGTTTCAGAAACTAAAATAAAATGGGGATATCACATTTTTTGCTTCTGCCATGGGAAGATGAATGGGAAATAGAGGAATTTTGGAAGAATTTTTCAGGAACAGGCAAGGATATTATTTTACAGGCACCTGATTTTTTTGTTCTATATGCACGTGTGAATGCATATGTATACCTATATTAGAAAAAAAAAATCCCAGTTTATCATCTAAAATGTTTACCAACAGCAACTTTAGGTACCACACGTCATCAGACAGGGATGCCCATCTAAAAGGAAAAAAATCCCTAGCAGAACACAAGACACATTAAGCTAAGTGCAAACTGGAGGATATAAAATAATCTAATTTCACAGATTAATTTATGCTGCTCTAGTATCCTTTTGTTAGAAGGTATATT